AACAAGTCTAAAGAGATGGTGTGACGTAATCAGTTGCCATTTGCAATAGACAGCGGTAGCTGTCCCATCATATCGCAGACTGTTTGGCGGTGTACCATCGATCGTCCGAAACTGTGATATAGGTCACATGTTGGAGGTTGTCAAGTCACTTTTGTATGGATTTTTAAGTGTAAAATCATGTCCATTACACTATAAACGATGTAGGGTGATGAGGACCTAGCTTCACTAACTGACAGACTTAATGCAATTCATGTTGGCGTTTCGAAGCGCCTGTTCAGGGATTAATGCTTTGAGGAGTACTTAAATATTACAGTATGTCATCGTTTGGCTAGTATTTTTATGAAATGTTACAAGTAAATAATGAGCTTATTTTCTAACATCATTAGTATCATGATCAACAGCTCGTGACAGATTACTCCTATGAACCTCCTTTACGTCAATAAAAGGGTATGCCATGCTTGTCTGCCAAGCGTGAATATGATAATTAAATTACCATAGAACACGATAAATAAAGGGTGTTTAAAACAAAGATTAACTGAGCGAAACTGTAAGAAACGAATGACGTGAATTTTTAAAGTATGCTACGCAATGTCTACGAGGTTACTACGCGACTACGCTACGTGATGACTACGAGGGTGCTACGAGACCACTAGATACGTAGTAGCGTAGTGTCCACAAGGACGATATGCAAATTGTTCGCAACGATCATTTTTACGTCGGTTTTTATTTCATGAGCCAATAAGACCTAAGCTTACAGGAATATTTTAAATACTATCAAGCAATAGATAGTTCTTTTTATAAAAACATCAGCAATTTCACGGATTAATAAACACTGTCATATTATGTAAAAAAATCAATATGAAGTTTTGTAATAAGCCTATTAATTTTACATTTTCATATTAGACGAAGTTTGATACTTGTGAAAATCATAAGATTTGCAATTCTAACAAAAAAAAGTATCAAGATAATAAAATAAAAAAGAAACATTTCATAAACAAACTTAAATAATAATTATTCACGCATAAATCATTGTTTAAATTATGGAATCGTTCAAAGTCCAACTACCACGTACCTACGTTAGCATTTTATAAATAAAAAAGGTACAATGTATTGTAATTAATTCCAACAAGATCGTTTCAAAATGGATCGATAACAGTGTCTGCCTGATGTCCCTTCCTCGCCCTACAGTTTGTTCAATGCCAAACGATATTAATATGAAAAAAACGACGATAACTAAATGTCAATAAGGGTCACTATTTAATAACGTTATATCCAAAAAGGTATGCTATAATATATTAATATATATGCTATATTCTATTAAGTAATGAAATTGGAAATTGAGTAAAGTTAACTAGATTTTGGTAAGAGACTATGTAGGTACTATCGAATGGACAGTGGCTACCATACCCGAAGTACAACTGCATCGTTACAGTGAGTGCATTGCCGACCATCAGGAAATAAAGCTAGTGTTTTCACAAAGTTGTCCCTTCGGAAAATGTTTGTAGAAATACCTAATAGAGTAAGTAGTAAGTAAGTCACTAATTTTGATTTGTGTATTCACAAAGCTGGCTGGCTGGTGGTTGGATCTGTAGAGCTTGAAAATTGAGCTCAATGTTCAGTTATCGACGATAATATTACTTTTCACATTTTAAGTAAACTATCATTAGTTTATTATTGTTAAGCATCTTTGTGTTAGACTTTAATGTTATGCTTATGTATATTTTGATGGCTTATCGAATAAATTGCCTGAAAGTAACGACACTTACTTAATATTAATGAATATTTAAGTCCATCAAATTATTGTTTAGTTATATCCTTGTGACTTAGTATTAAAAATGGCAGCGAAAACGTGAGACTAATGCCCGAATACTGAAAGGCTACTCAATTTTAAGTCGAACTTAAATATTATGCCATCTCTGTCATTTTACAAAGAAACAGTAGCGACAGAACTATAGGTACTTCTTAAGCGCGTCAAAATAGAATGGCGTTTGAGTATTTGAACATATTGCACGTTTAACTAACTAGGTGGTATTTAAGTAATAACTTAGAATGTCAATTTAAAGAATAAACTGTCATGGAAGAAAATTGTCGGTTTGCCTAGAACTAGAAAATAATGATGGCTAATAGAAGCCTTTGACTACTTACAATAAAATTACAGATGTGGTACAAATTACAGACTAGAAATAATATTTATAGTCCTATTAAACTGATGTACGCTAGCTTAGACATGTAATCCTGCCAATGTCAGAAAATAACACATGATTTTTTTTCAGCTAAAGTCACAAAGTAGCTAGACCGTCTTGTCGAGGTAGAATTACCACGAAATCTACGAAAAGCCTAAGATAATCACAAGTAAAATAATACAAAAAATATCCTTTATAAATGTGGTTAATATTAAGAATATCAAACAAAGTCATGGTCTGGAACATTTCAGCTGAAACTTTTTATTTATTATCTTCTACAAAGCGGGGGATATGCCGCGGGCTACGTTTTGATGATAAAACCTTCATAACGACGAACAAATAACTTTCTCATAACGAATATAATTAAAAATCGACTTTCATTATTATTTATTGTGTTTTTTATCTAGCAGGAATATTTGAACCTAAACCTTCTTACTTTTATGACAGATTTTAAAAAGGAAAAGTATACCTATACTTTTTTCACTGAATTTACTTCTGTAAGGTAAAGTACCTAAGTTCAATTTGAGTTTACATTTCGACCTGAGCAGACGTAACTTCTGCGCATCGAATTGATCTGTTTTTTTATAACAATACCATAATATGGACAGGAGTCCAACATGTACTTACAGGATACGTGGAACGTCAATCAAACTTTGAACAGAATTATCAATTGGTAAAATCTGGTAAGAACAAAGCAACCTCAAATAACTACTCAAATCTATATTTCTTCTAGATTTATATCAATGTGATAAAAATGGAAATCAAAAAGAAATTCGACAAATTGGAAGTCTGTTGACCTGCTATGTACCTACTACCATCTACATATTATATATTTTATACTACCCAGGAGTTCATAATGAAATGTCACGCTTGCGATCACTAGATCATCAAGGTCAGAAGGCAGTATACCAATCGATAAGAGAAGTTGTGAAATAAGTCAGTACCTAAGTAATCGATAAAATATAGATTACTTCATAGAGGAGTCGACAGACAGTCGGTTATTTGATATTTATTTTATTATCTACACTTTAATTGAATAGTCCTTCCGATAAAAACTGGTTGCCAAAAATAAAACAGTATTTTTATGCAAGTATAAGGTCGCATTTCCGATTGTCAGGTTCGGAAATCATTGAGATTGTCGATTTAAAATACCTAAATGATTTCCGCAATCATACCAACAAAATATTGAGTTAAGAATTGTGACAAAAAGCTCTTCTGATATTTAAAATAAACAACTACAAAGTGTTCTTGCTTTGGCAGTAAATAATGAACAACTACGACTAAGTAATAACAAGTTACCAATACCTACCTAAGTCAATAGGTGTCTAATACAGATTTAATTTAGGTTCAAAGTGCTTTGTTCTAATAAAACATTTGCATCAACTGTACGATATGAAGAATGTAAACTGAAAACTGGACGCAATAAGGACAATGATTCATGATTCATTCCATAAAGATATTTTTGTAACAAAGGGTTAGCAGGACGGACTTTAGACTGGGATGGAATTTCTTTCTGCTTTAATCCTTTGTACTTATTGTAACTTACGTAAGACATGTTAAGTTGATTAGGAGCCACTGCTCGGCTTGAAATTAGTTGAGTTACCTCGTAAACTGTTACGGGAATGTTAAATATTGTTATTATTATCCTTTGTTCTTAAACTTGTAATCTAGACAAAAAGTACCTAGGTATAAATATAAAATAACTAAGTACATAACATAACAAGGTGAATAGTTTCATTTTCTTATGAGAATAAGGACTTGTGTGCTTAGATGAATCTAACGCATTATCAATAAAGTTATGTTTAGTTATTACATATTTTAAGTTTCATTGAATTAAATATTATTTAAGTAAGTAATATTTATTTGCAAAACAGAGAATTTGACCATGAAAAATTAGAGGACAATATAAGAATACAGAATTGAAAATGTATCCGAGGATGGAGATCGGATCCTTGTTTTGCACAGTTCAGTCAGGTCTAGATAAAATAAATCTAGTTCCTAACCCTAAGCGCATAATGGTCGGTCACCGACGGCGACAGTGAAAGCTTTTATATTGTATTTCTTTATCTATCTAATCTTATCATAAGTTAAATAAAATATAAAATACAACACTACTACTTCACACACACACACATGTGTCCATACGGTCTACCGTGATATGTAAATTATATAGCAACTTGAACACTATATTATGCGAGTACGTTTTAGGACCTCTCCATAACCATGTGACAGCGGATTTATGTCGTGACGATGTGACGAACAATTAATTATTTATGCAAAGGACGTCACCTATCCTTCCTAGTGAGCACTTCCATCACATAGTAGCAATCAGTTATCAAAATTGAAAATGCTAGCAGGTAGATAGCAACTTTAAACAGTAGCTGGCTGGTCCCTGCGGGTATTTCAAAAAATATTCGGCGCTCAAGTACATACTACGAGCGAGCCATGAATAATGAGAACGTAGTATGTTCAGTTACCGAATAAAACAACCGACCCCTGATATTTAAATATGGATTTTTGGATTACAAATGGATATGGCTGTCACTCGGACACCCCGTTCTATTGTTGTTTATTACCCTATGTGCCATAACTGTCGCGCAAAATGTTCAACCGATAATATTAAACTTCGATAACATTACTGGTTTTAACATTTAATTAACACAATCATGCATAAAAACTATATACTTAAATAAACGTGGGTTTCCTTGAGATCGAAAACCGGTAAATTTTTGACGCAGTGGTTGATATTGCAGGTGTTTCCATACATGCCAACGTTTATGGCTGCGAGGGAATAATAATAAAAACAAGGGCACTTACTTGCAGTCTCTCGGCAGTGTTTTGATGAACACGTAAATGTGCCTCCTATATCGGTAGACGCAGGGCGCTACGGCAAGGATGACGAATATCGCCGCCTTAGAGAGTGTACTGAGCACGGCGGCCATCGCGGCGGCCAGTGCCATGAGAGCGACGAGCGCTGCCAGTATCGCGTCCATGCTGGCGGGCGGCCCAGTAGGGCGCACAGCGGCTAACTATACACCGGTAACAGATAAACAGTACGTGTGAGTACGATGCGCGATCACTACGCACCGGGGACGCGCGCGTCCATCGACACCGAACAGTTTCGTATAAATGTGGGAAGGATTCGTAGCACGGAGCGGTGCGTGTGCCGAGCGAGCGGCCGCGTCAATGGCGGAGCGCCGGCCTACAGCCCCCCTCGCGCCAGCTGCACATGCGCCGACAACAGCTGATCCTCGAACGGTAGGCGCGCTGTTACCAACCCCAGTTAACTCATCTGAGCTTGAGCGTAAAATTAATACCGATATAGGACGCGACAGTTACAAAATTTTTCGCGGATGTCTTTGTTGAAGCTGTCGTTTCACATAATTTTATGATATTTCAATGATATTCCGAATTCAAAAATATTTTTTCAACGGCCATAAACAATAAATGAGAAATAAAAATAATGCTATAAAAGAAGGTTCTCATATCAAAAAAGAGGTGTTACATTGTACTTTCTGTAACATTATTTCAACATACTATGTATTTGTTTGTTATCTCGACATTTTTATCAGTGTCAATCAAAGTAAATGCAATGTAAACTTACCTGTACTTATGTTTGGTTGGATGGCTCCACGTTGCCCGGTAGTTGTATCCGCACGTGTTGACAGGTGCACTATACACAGGACGATGCACACATTGCACACGTATAGAATTCATTATTATATTTATTAATTATAAATAACTTCGGTCATGGCCACATAGAGCACGATATAGGAGGAAGGAAACTATTGAAAAATGATAGATATACATAGCTGTTATAAAACCTGTTCGATTCTTAGCTCCTTACACTGCAGTACTACACTATTTTGTACTTACATCATAACTTTCACAAAATTCTTTGTAATATTTCATTTAAAAATTACCTACAAGACCACTTTTTTACTCATAATCAACTTTCAAAACGAAACTGAACTTTTTTGGCTTATGGGTACACGGTAATTGCACGCTGAAGCAAACGAAACGGTCACCGTTTCGTTATGTGATTTGAAGACTAAATAACTATTTCATCATCAAATTCAGTTGCTTTTTGCTAAAGGGCCCAACTATTGTTGATGTTAGATTGATGATGTTGAGTGGCGTTATGCCACTTTAAACTTAGTGTAGTCAAAGATTTACCATTTATAACCTCTTAATAAAGTATTCAAACACAAGAAAAATAAAACGACAACAATTTTTTTATAAAAATATACATTTAATGTAGTTTTTTCAGCATATCCCATACCATTAAATAATATAATAATTCTTAGAACCTAATTTATGTAACAAAAAATTAAATACAATAACCGAATACAATTTCAATCAATATTTGAAAAATTGACAAACACAAAATAAAATATGAGGCAAGGATTTTAAATAAAAACTGTACAATATTTACTATAATAAACTAATAAAAATGAACAATAATTACATAGTAATAATAATGAGAATTCTTTCTTATTGATTTTTATAATTATAAATATTGTGACGCCAGATTTAAAACTAACTTAACTGTTATAAAATAATAGACAACCAAATTATATAAATATAATCCCACACCGAAATCACTTTGTTTTATTTAAGTAAGTACAATATAATAATTTTTACAGGCTTTGTTTTCAGCATGTTAACAAACTACCATTTCGAAGATTTGAGGTATAACTGTTGGCTAAAAGACTAACTGCTATACTCAGAGACATTCAATGATTGCTTAAACTATTCCTTAGTAACGATTTTGTTCCAAAAACAATAGGGATGAAGACAGGGTATGAAAATTTAAAATCTAATTAGTCCGTCAGTTAGGTTAAATATAAACAATATGAATTAACAATGGGTTAAATGTGAAATACGTGTCTATGTATTTTTTATTTTGATGTATAATAAAATGATACTTAGATATAACGAATCAAAGTTTAGGAGAGGTGGCTAAAACGTCATTTCTACGTATAAAGTGTACATAGAAGTGACGTCACGCGATATTTCAAATCAATACATCGTCGAAAGCAAAGTATTCCTTTCTGTAAAAAATAAAAAATACGAGTCTAATGTTTTAAAATAATATACCAGACGGACATTAAAATTCGGCATCTACCTTATTGCTTATGACTGGGTTAAGTAGCCATTAAATGACTCTGAGTACGACAGTAAAAGTTACTTATTAGGTACCGATTAAATTCCGGTTATTTTGACCCTGAGCAATTACTTTGACGTAAGCCCAATCTTCAAGGTGGCTGGCAGTGATTGGATGAGAAGAGCTGAAGATTGAACTCTGTGGCGCGCCATTGGAGAGGCCTATGCCCAGCAGTAGACGAACACAGGCTGATGATTAAGTTCAACCAATAGGAATCCAGTAACAAAGCTTATATTTGGTTTTCTTTGGTTTGTTGGGGAAAAGTTATCTTGTAGGATCAAAATAACCCGAACTTTCCGTTTTATCTTTCGTTAAGTCACCCCGTTGTATGTCCAGTAACAAACTGCTCTTAATTAAGATACAAATAATTCATTATGTAATGTTTAATAATACAAGCAAAAATATACATAAAACATAATCAAATACACCAACAATTACCCATTTTAAATTAAATAAACTTTATTTGATTTTAGTTTTATTTATTTCGAGTTCCTTTTACAAAAATGTAAGTACGATGCATATAACAAAAAACGTAATTAATAAACTACAGCATGCCTTTTTTTCTACCACAGCTTAAACAGATCAGTCCATTAAAGAGCTAATTTAATAAATTCATAGATTCCCAACTCCTCTAGATTCCATGTACCATCGGCAAAGTTTACGGTTGCACATTTTTTTTAACAAAATCCTGTGGCAAATTCCCTATCCACCGGGCATTTTCCCTGTGGTCGCTCGCGCTGAGTGCATGCGAATATTCCCTAATGATGGTCGACCGCCAACTTTGTCGATTTTTAAATGTGAAATATTTTTTAAAAGGTCTTTTCCGTAAAGCAGGCTTGGAAAATTGCCTAGGAATGTAAGGTCTAAAAGGTATAGATATATATTTAGCAAAAATAGACACATGTGATGTTTCATGAAGACTGAAGCACAAGAAGTTAAATTCTTCATCTTGCACAAAATAAGTTATCATAAGAGAATCTGTGTTCAAATTTAAGACAGAGAAAATAGAACAAGTTAATCGACAATGCATTAAAAGAACAGCATACAAATTCTAATTTCAAATCCCAGCATGAAAGAGACTTATATTTTTTGTGCGTCTAGTGGCGCCACTATCGATTAAGGACCAAACAGGATCAATTATTTTTAAAAGAATGGACGAAGTAACATCAGTTTTAACCATTAGTGAAGACAATATTCTATATAAACATTGATTTACCACATTCCACTAGTAATAGATACACATTTTTCAATATACAATAAATGCAAAACATAAGGAAATTGCGCATTCTATGCTAAGTCTTCTATTTTGGAAGCAGTGACATCAACGGCTTAGTTTTATATTAACAACATCGCTAATAAAACAGTTTTTAAGTTAAATATGTATATTTTATTTACACCTAGCTACTTCTACTATTCAACCGATGTATAGTCTACAAAGGGCTAGCTTACACAGCGAGGTATACAAAACCAGTTTCTCAAGGTCTCGCGTTGTATAATCTTACTGATCATTCAACGCTCAGTTTATACTGGCTATGTATAGTTTGATGTGTGCCCATGTACAAGTTATAATAACCATATTAAACTAAAAAAAAATTCTTCTCATCGATTTTATTGATTTTATACCCTATAACAACGAATTTAATGTTCGGAATCGAGCATTAAAGTGAACAGTTATGGTTTTGATGTATATATAACAATAGGTAAAAACGTGTGCTTGAGTCAATGCACAATAAAAATTTAGATTTTTACGATTAATGACATTTTTATATCGTTTTTTTTTATAAATAGACATAGCAAGTCTACTGATTTACTAACAGCCATTCCAAATAATATATCTATCAATGGATAATTTACTAGAGAATGTTCAAAATTCAGTAAGCAGTCACTGTACCCTAAGTACACTTGCAACACCAGAGACAATGCTAGGGCCCGTAGGCCCCCACCCACAGATAAATTATCAAGAATGGCTGTAAATGTTATAATACAGATAACAACACGAAGACAACAGATTATAAAACAGATCACAGCCTAATTTGTCCACTAATGATTTTGTCATACTCTTCCACGCCTAGCGGTAGATACCGACCTTGTTTTAGATCTAAGTAGTAAAGCTTGTCCTTCTTGGCTAGTTTCGGATCAAAACCATCCTTTTGTAGATCAGTCTTCTTCATTTTAAATGTACCTGTGGATTTATAATTAGTATTATGGTGGTGTTATTTACAGGCGTTTAAAATAGAGTAAGTATATTGATTTATTTAATATCAATATGCAAAATGCGAAAATGTTGTCATGAAGGACATAAAACTTACAATTAAGATAAACATAGTATGTACTATGCAGTCTAATTGCAGTCATTTATTGGTTTTTATAGCAAAATTAATGAAATGTTAGACTAAATTATAATCATTTTTGTACCATCATAGGCTCAACAATAAATGAATGCAGTATTTTTTGCTAATAGCAAAATTTGTTTGTTGGGCGAATCTTCATTGTATTTGTTGAAACACAGGCTTTATGTAGACAAAAAAATTACAAGATATTGAAAATAATAGATATAAAAAAAGTATGTGTGTCGGGTGAATAGCATAAATACAGTATGTAAACGAAACGCTCTCGAAACGTTAACAAAAAGAAATTGTTTTTACAATTTTAATCGTTTTTGTTTTCGTTTTATTCATGCAACATTAACCTTGAGCAGTTAATTACAGCCATTATTACACAAAAGAAACATTTAATTTCTTATTTTTATGTAAATAACACTTGTTTTTGACCATCATTTTCGTAAGCGTTCCGTTTACACTGTAGAATAAGATTCGAAAAGTCGATCGGGATCAGTATCTATCCGTAAAATGGTTTACCCACCAGTCATGTCTAAGCTGTCCATGACCCTGATGAACACAGGTCTCGCGTATACAGGCAGGTCTCTCGCCAGGTCCCTGCACAGTTTGTCCAGGTCCAGGGTACCGTCCACGTCCACTATACCACACATGCCCGCTCTACCCTCCGTGTTGGGTACCTTTTGAGAAAATAGGTTTCATTTGTTAAAACATAATTATTGGCCAAGTAATATTGGGGATTTAATGCTGAAAGGTTTTTAGGGAAGGTTTTCCCCGCACAGAACAAATAAATGTCCATGGGTATCAATCATTGCTTACCATCACGTCATTCGTCTGCTCGTTTGCCGGCCTATCCGATTAAGGCCCGATTTATGAAACGCCAGATAAATTTTAACTGAAAAATAACTTTGAGGAATATTTGACAATTCTTCTATACTAAAAACTGGTAAATGTCAATTTAAGTCTACAGTTAACAATTAACTGATAATTGAAAAATCGGCCCTAAAAAATATTTCGTGTGATCAAATGGCAAATTATGGACCTGAGTGTGGACACAGGAAAAAAATTGACGTGTAAAAACGTTTTAGAAAACGAAATACCATACACTATTACCTTATTGCCATGCTTCGCGTAAAACACTAGAATCCACACTATAACTAAGAATTGAAATAACCGCAAAACTATGTAACATTGCCCTAACCGAAGGTTTGTTTTTCAGCCGGACTGACGACTTGTGATCCACGAAAGGCATCGTGTGTAAAGACTAGATCGGACTAATGAACCTAAATTATCCGCAGGTCGTAACTGCTTCCCCATTACATCTTGAACAATATGTTTGCATAAATAAATAAATAATAATAATAAACATGAACCAATGTCTATACAAATAAACCCCTAAACACACGTTGATATTAGTAAATACTATAATATTTTTCGCACGCTCTAGTTGCCAAGTATATAGTGACGGAACAGTCTTGTACATTAGTTTTTATTACCGACTTCAAAAAAAGGAGGAGGTACTATGTTCGGCTGATTGTTTTTTTTTTTTTTTTTTTTTTTGTTTGTTCGCGCAGTACTCCGCCGTTTGTGGACCGATTTCGAAAATTTTTGTTTTGTTTGAAAGGGTATACTCCCGAGATGGTCCCATTTTCATGAAGTCAGGATCTGATGATGGGATCCTAGGGAAACCGAGGGGAACTTTCGAAAATTGTATGGGGGAGTAATGCGTCTATTATGTTTTTCAATTACGAATTTTAAACACTACAATTTGATAAGGGTCTGAAGTCGACCTGATGATGGAGTCGACAGACAGTCGAGGGAACTCCTCAGCGGTTTATATTAACTACCTTGTGTTTGGGCTTGATTAATTTGTATTGATGAGGACTTTACACCTAGATAGAGTGGGGCTGTCATTAAGGGTCTGATGATGAAGAAGTGTAATTGTTAAGGGAACTCCTCAACGGTATACAGTAACTACCTTGAGTTTGGGCTTGATTAATTTGTATTGATGAGGACTTTGCACCTATGTATATTATAAGTAACAAAACGGGTATATGTAGCTTTACACTGAAAATGGTAAAATAATAAAATAAAAACTGCGTTTAAAAAACCGACTTCAAAAACCAAAAACTAACACCAAACAAAAAGTCAATACTAAAAAGCAAAAAATAACTATTATTAGTACTGATAGGTTACCCACCCACTGATAGGTTAGAAGTCGGTGCCATAAGCTCATATCATAATGATATAACTTAATGTCCACAAAATTGTGAATTAGGTACCTATTAAGGTTTTAATGAATAATTTTGTATGGAACTTATGGCACCGACTTCTTACCTATCAGTGGGTGGGTAACCTATCAGTACTAATAATAGTTATTTTTTGCTTTTTAGTATTGACTTTTTGTTTGGTGTTAGTTTTTGGTTTTTGAAGTCGGTTTTTACGTATCGGCACCGGACGCGTTCTAACATAACTTTGGCAAGTACCAATGTGACGTTTTCCAAGTTATTTGTGTAAGTACTTCTAAGTTTATTTAGACACCATTGACATGCGGTGAAGGAAAAGATGGTGAGAAAACTGGTCTTATAATTTCTAATTACAAGTTTTTAATCCCTAATTTGCTTTGAGGAATAGTGGATTTGCGCAAGATAAAGGTATCTTCTATTGAGTCTCATACACCGATAGTCAAGTGCTTAATGGACATTATTCCTCCATGTGAGAACAGATTATATGCCAGCAATGTACCATATACCGGCTGATGATGACCCGGTACCGGTTAACCGGCAACCGGAGCGTGTGTAAGGCCACTAATACTACATTGTTTACAACCATTCAGATTTAATTGCTCAATGAGTCTGTTATATAACGCTCACGCGGTCACTTGGCAGACGATACATTGTTCATTCACATAACATTATTATGTATTTGTTTGTGATCAAGATTATATTTTATTTAATCTAGGTCTAATGTACCTGTAATGTGTAATTCCAATTGGACAGACTAACTTTCGTACTCTGTTTACGGTAGTAATGTCAGTTGGATAATGAAAAAATACTAGACACTTATTTGTTTATTCTGTCGTATAAGAAAACAGTACTTAGATAAAATGGAGTTAAGTCTACGAGTCCCGGTTGTTAAGTCACGCTACCCTATAAAGTGTTATAAACCGTGACGTCACATGATATTTCAAATCAATAATAATTATCGTCGAAAGTATTTAATTTTGTAAGAAAAGAAAATATTCCTGTCTAATGTTTTTAAACAATCTACCAGACGGACATTAAAATAAAATTTTGGAAACTTTCTTTTTCTTTTTTTTTTTTAAATAAACTTTGCCCCACACTAGGATTTTCTCCTGTGTCGTGGGTGCGTTTACAAACATACAAGTTCACATACACCCTACCCCATTAGAGGAGGCCCTTTTGAACGGTAAACAAAATAATGTCTACTGAAACTATTGCCCATTCCAAAGTGTAGATTCCTATTTCCTATAGATGTATTAGTTGATGTACCCACGATACAGGACAAAATCATAGTAAGAGAAAAAAAGTTATTTAATAAAGAGAAATGAAACAAGTATTTACCAATACACCATAAACGACAGCGTCTCTATGGTCAGCTACTCTAGAGATGGCGGCTTCGACTTCTGTGGTGGATACATTTTCGCCGCGCCATCTAAATGTGTCACCAGTTCGGTCGCGGAAGAAGAGGTAGCCAAACTCATCTGCTACTAAGATGTCACCTGAAATCATATGTAATGAATTTGACATAAGATTATTAGACAAGGTCCTACAGTTTTTCAATAAGTTTAACACACTTTTAGTAGCTTCAGTGGAAGATAACAGAGCAGTTCAGTTATAAATAGACGACGACGGACCTTTGGACGTTTTTAGTATCAATGCGTTGTAGTCGTTTCGGTCCATTCAAGGTTAAGCATGATTGGCCCATGATCCCGTAAGTAAAAAACATAGGTATTTACCAGGTACTGGGTTAAAACCCAAAGTCTACCTTATCCTAACTGAAAAGAAATAGTGGGGAAACAAGAAGCAACAAATACCCTTCTAGAACGAACATACCTGATATAAACGCAGAGTCTCCGAAATGGAAGACATTATGAACGACCTTCTTGTCCGAAGCTGCCTTGTCCACGTAGCCGAGGTATTGACGTGCTGGGTTGCTTGCTTGGATCTTGCCGATGAATACTCCAGGCTCGTTCGGTTCCGCTAACTGTTGACGAAAGAGATTTTTTCAAAATATATTGCGCTAGAGCGCAATGATTTGCGCAAAAATTGCTTTAGTTTTTATAAAATGTTTAAAAGTGAACACATATGTAATACATACGTTTTATTTATTTCTATATGAGCTTAGTTTAGTTGCACATTTGCGACTGCCGGGCAAGGGGTCTCGGGTTCGATTCCCGGGTCGGGCAAAGTAACACTGGGTTTTTTCAAAAAATCTTAGTATTAGCACGGAGTCTGGAATTGTGCCCGTTGTATGGCAATGGGCTCACCCCCTATTACTTGGGACTCATAACATGAATAGTGAAAAGTGGGTGTTACATTGTACAGTGGCATTAAATGCCGTAATGTACACCTTTGCCTACCCCTTCGGGGATAAAAGGTGTGATGTTATGTTAAATTAACATAATAATTAGTTTAATTACCTGACAAAGTCCTTTTGAGTTTCGAATAGGCTCTCCAGTCTCCTGGTTCACTTTGATGATGGCGATGGGGTATACTTTAGGGAATATCCTGGATACAAAGCCAATGGCACCTGGTGTACCGTCCACGTTCGCTGTAATCATGTTAAAAGGAACTTTGTAATATAGTATGTTGTTACTTGTGTCTATTGAAGACATTTGAAAATTTAAGGCATGCTACCCAAAAATCTAAAAATGATCTATACTGGGTGATTGTATTATTTTAATTTAATACCTATTTTATTACCTACTATTTTATTACCTGGGCTTGTTTCACAATATCTGCAGCTGTAGCCAAATGCCATATAGCGCTTGTCTACTTGTAGAATAGAAAACCAAATTATATGGAATTGACGTAAATTTTGACACTTGGCACTGTCATCCCCATAGATTTAGTCTCTCTCTGTAGACAAGCGATAAAATGGCGTTTGGCTAAAGACACTGGATAGCCGTTATCTATCAGATAAATTTGAATTAAGAACGTAATTTGTATGAACTATCTGTCACATAACTTTATCAGGTACTTATATGGAGGTAGTGAAACCGGCGCTTAAGGAGACATAATATTTTATGTTAAACGAATAAATATGAATACCTATGTTGGCATTTCCTTCAGTCGCTCCGTAAAACTCTGTCACCGACTGGATGTTGAATCTCTTCACGAAGTCTTTCCAGATCTGAAATAAAGTAAACAATCAAATAATTATTTCATAAACTACGTTTACAAAAACCGACTTCAACCTCCACTCTATTTGAAGTCGACTAAACTGTAACACCGCGAGGACACCGGTGACCGCAACCTATTGTTCTTTAATTGTGTCTATAATGACGGTACTCAAAGGGTTTATTAATAAACTAAAACCTTCTCCTAAGTGTAACAAACATTTTTCTGAAAACTGCATAAAAATCGGTTCAGACAATCGCGAGATAATTGAGCACACACATACATACACACAGGTCAAAGTGAGAACCTCCTTTATTCCTTTTTTAAGTCGGTTAAATATTAGCTTTCTATAAACACATAAATAGATGGCCCAAGAAGGCTTTAAATAACTTCAAATTTATTTTCGGAAACTCATAGGTCTTGTCATTCAATTAATATATGATAGTAAAGTAATAAAAGTTGACCTGTGTCTATAAACATATACCATTTAAGTTGGTATAAACTTTGCGCATTTGCACATCCTATACCGCATGTCTTATTAACTTTGCTCGTTATAATTTAAATCAGTTACAAGTTATTTACAAGAATAAACTTAATGTACTATGAACTTAAAATTCAAAATTAAATAAAACTAAAATAAATTCGCATTAACTAAAATTAAAGTGGCGAACATTGCGACTAAAATAAATTGCAAAGTCATCGTCTAGAAAGGGGCAATAGTTCTTTGTTTTTATTCTTATCTACATATAAATATAAAATGTACAATGTAATTAATTCTTTACCTACATGTGTACTGTGTTTACATCGTTTAATAAACCATTAAAAACAGCTGAGTCATGTGTAAGCGTATTATCATAAAATGTATTTACGTGGGAAAATGACTCTTACTGTTCACAACATAAAGACGTTATGAAGGTCAAGTTTGACATGTGGTTGACCTGTGGTCATTGTACTACATTTGTCTTGTATTCCCACAAAATGAGCATCAATGTCAAAGTTCATTGCTCTCTTATTATTTACGAATTAAATTATTTAGGTTATCTTTTCTTCTTTTTGCTGAAAAATATACAGTTGTTTTTTTTTCATAAAAATTCAAATATATGCAGAAAGTATAAAATTACCACAATAAGTTTTAATACACTCTTTTATTCTCTGACATTTAAAAGCATGGACGCAAATAAAATTAAATGAAGTACATACGTTAAATTTAATTATTTATTTCCATTTTTCATACTTTTAATGTGTATGACATTTCACATTTCATCAGTTAAAACAATAAGTTCGAGCCCCGTGGCGTGTTATATGAGAAACTCAAGCAACAGAAAGAAAATGGATAGCAATAAAAGTAACAATTTCTGATACTACCCCACACTCTCAATGGATTTCCAACTCTGTTTTAAAGTGTGGGAGAGCCATGCTTCGGCATTAGATTAACTAAAAACACATGAGCAGCGTGCGCGGTCGCGGCGACCGCGCACGCTTTTCTCGTTGATGAGGAAGAACCCTTCTGTGGTTCGAAACTAGTAGAGCTTTTCTCAATATATTCACGTGAGTAACTCTCGATTTTTAGTTGATTTCCAACTCTATGTCAAAATAATAAAAATTCGTGGATTTATGGTAACTCACCTGAGGTCTAAGTCCGTTGCCATAGATGACACGCACGCTATGCTGCGTGTCCGCAGGCGAGGGGGGCGTGGCCAACACGTAGCGACACATCTCGCCTATGTAATGGGCAGCCTGGAAACAGCATATATTAATTTAATATAGCTATTATTGTTCAATACGTAGCACACCTATTACAAACGCTTACTAGCTTTAATTTTTTTATTGACGTTTAAAAGTGCCTTCTTGGTATAATTGAACTAAATGATTTTGACTTTACTTTTCGCTTTTTAATCCCCCAACCGGAAGAGGCAATGAAACGCTCATTTGTCCAGAGATATATTATGCTTTGAGTTTTGTCATCTCTAGGTTACTGTGCATGTTGTGACACCTTAAAATATTATGCATATTTTATTATTATGTAAGACGTAATATAACAACTACTGGTTGACCAAACTATAAATAAACAAATAAATGAGTTGAGCCTACTGTCATAGACTTGGCATACTTTCGGACTCCACGCTATAACTGCAATTTGTCCCTATTAAAAGCTGTTGTTTTTGTATTGGTGGAACTTTTAAGTGTCCTTCGGAGAAATATGATTGTAATAAGCAATTATTTAGATATATATATATACAGTTATTTTGATACAACTGTCAAGGAACATAGAAATAAGTACATATCTTGTAGAACAATAATACATGCACAATGGCAATAAAATGAACATAATTACAGTTCATAAAATTATGCCGCCGATGTGATGATCAATTCACAACGGCCTTGAAATAACTTGTTGAATAGTAACCTTTATCTCCACGCTACAATAATAATAATTACGTTAGAGTCAGTTAACTAGGCTATTCTATTTCTATATGAATCTAAAATACTTAGCTAGTAAGTTTTAATCCTATTTTCAAGTATAGTTCATTTAATGCTCTATTCTTATTCAGTACTAGCCACTTCCGCACGATTTCACCCTCTCTGCTCGGTTCCTATTTATCGTAACGTGATGTTTTATAGCACATAGCCTTCCTCGATTAATGGACTATCCAACACAAAAACAAATTTTCAAATCCGACCCCTAGTACCTGAGATTTACGCGTTCAAACAAACAAACAAACTCTTTAGTTTTCTATAATAGTATAAGATAACTGAAGGACAACTAACATTTGAAAAATTAAAGTATGTATTAAATTTAGTTGACTCATAGCAATGATTAACCACAGACCAGTTATTTCCATGCTTTGTTGAGCGTAGCAAAATAATTATAATACACAAAATATGCCAAAATTATAGTAAGCACTTATCAAACGTATGTAAAATTACAACTATACTTAAATAAACCAGAAATCTACTCTATTCATTTGCAGTTTAGGTATCTTTTTCAATGACCAAACGTATTTAAGTATCAATTAAAGCCAAATAGACTTTAAACAGATAAACTTAGAGTTAAAACCAGTTGTAAATTGTTTACACAGCCTTACACTTGATACTTGAAGTATTGAGAAGTGAAGAATTTTGTCATGAGTGCGACTATGCAGCCACATATCACGGGTTGGTCCACACTGATTATATTATAGACTAATCAGAGCAAAATGGACTTTAACCCGTCGAGTTAAAGTCTAAAATAAAGTCTAATCCCTAATTTGCAATTCCCAAATCCCTGTTGATAAGTGGTCCAAATTGCTTACCACTAGTCGAATGGTCTGTTGCTTTGCCGTTGTTGGTATAGCATCTTATACTATTATACATATAAAGCGGAAGAGTTTGTTTTTTTGTTTGTTTGTTTGAACGCGTTAATCTCCGTAACTACAAGTCTGATTTGAATAATTCTTTTTGTATTGGATAGCGCATTTATCGAGGAAGGCTATAGGCTATAAAACATCACGCTACGACCAATAGGAGCTGAGCAGAGCGTGTGAAACCGCGCGGAAGTAGCTATAAAAAATAACTCTAATATACACGTACCGTGGCCTTATACTTGACGCAGTCGGGGAAGTACTGAGAAGCGGAGAATTTCGTCTTGAGTGCGACTGTGCAGCCAAATATTACAGCTTGGCCGACACTAATCACTCCTCCCGCCGTATGGTAGAGAGGTAGAGGGCAGTAGAACACATCGTTCCCTTCCAAACCCATGTAATGAAGTCCAGTTGCCATAAAGACGAACCTAAAATAAAATATTAAAAAATGGTGTTATTGAACGGAGATAATATATTGAACTAGCTTCTGCCAGCGGCCAGCTTTCTAGTGGGATAAAAAGCCTATGTGTTATTATAGACCTAAACATTCCCCTTTTCCAAATTTCATCCCTAGGTATGTCTTCAACTGTTTCGACGCGAAGAAGTTACAAACATACAAAGTTTTGCATTTATAATATTGTTAGGATATTTTTTTTTTATAAAACGTTGCCCCACACTACGATTTTCTCCTGTGTCGTGGGTGCGTTTACAAACATACAAGTTCACATACACAATGACACCCGGACCCGAAACAACAATTTGTGGATCACACAAAGTGTTGTCCCGTGCGGGAATCGAACCGTTCGTTCCCCATAATGTAAAGCTTCGAGCATCGAGTTAAAAAGTAATTATTTATATTATGTGCTACTCAAGACTATCAATTTCCATACCGATCCGTCTTAGAACTTTGGGTAATGGAAAATGAACAAACATACACATTTATATTCGAATAGCACAGCCAAATATGTGTTTTTCTTCATCAAATAATCACAATATCAAATATTTGAGGAGACCCTCAGTTCAAAACTCATTGTTCCGTAAAAATGGTAAACACGTTGATACATCAGTAGGATACAAATACCGTAGCAGGTACTTAGTAAACAGTCACTATTAGTGATAATTTATTCATTGTCCTTAGGTTATCTGGAAGACACGAGGAAGACCGATAACACCAACCTATAGTTATATCGTAAAAACATCGTTATTGCCTTTTGTTCTCTGATTATACAAAACGCTGGGAGAAGCGCCGTGTTAACAATTTTAAAGATGAAAAAAACTCAATATTACTTTGCCCTATGCCAAAGCACAGCAGTAGTATATACAAAAAAGTCATAAATCTAATTACTCGAATGTAAATTGTAACAGCTGTAATTATGGGTCCCGATGTGGCACGAAACTAGTCGATCTTATTTTTAACGTGAGTAAATCGTACAGCTCAATTAATTTCGTACGTAATAGAACAACATTTAAGAAATATCTCACCTAGCATTAGAAATAACAGCTGCTTTAGGCAATCCAGTAGTTCCAGACGTGTAGATATACAACAGCTTTCCTTGGAACCCGTCAGCATCAGCCAATGTCCAGGGTGCTGGCGATGTGGTCTCCACCAAGTTGGTGAAATCGGCGATACCATCCCCACTGCCTTCAGACTTCGAATTGGAAGTCTTCAAAGGTCGTTGGGAGAACTTGAATAACTTTAAAGATGGGCTCAAGTCTTTGGCTACATCTTGGATAGCTGTAAAGAAAATAATTGTACTTAGAATAGAATATTATGTTAACAAAAAGTATGGCCTTCGCACTCGTCATTAAATACGTATCAAGCATTAGAGTTAAATCTTCGTCAAGCGGCGTGCACACATCAATCTCACTGTGAAGTGTGACACTGAGTCGTTTGTAAATTCGGAAGTCCAAAAGTTAATTGCATTTGTTAGAAATATCGTATGGTTGCTGTTGCTACGTGCAGGTTTTAAAGGTAATTGTAGTTACAAACCATCATTTCTTAAACGTTATAATTTTTCTAAATGTTGGTTTAATTAGGATTTCCTCTTGTGTCGTGGGTGTGTGTTTTACAGACACAATCATATGATTATATAAACAATAATTTATAGACATGCCATAACATAACATCACGACTTTTATCCCCGAAGAGGTAGGCAGAGGTGCATATTACGGTACTTAATGTAACACCTACTTTTCACTATTTATGACTCACATGTAATAGGGGGTGAGCCTATTGCCATATACCGGGCACAACTCCAGACTACGTGCTACTACTGAGAATTAAAAAAAAAACCAGTAATACTTGCCTTGCCAATGAAACAGTCAATTTATAGATTATACAAATATTTGTTGCGTTCGGGGTTTGGACGTGAAACACGTTGCACAACAACCAATCATCATCATCATCATCAACAGCCTATAAATGCCCACTGCTGAGCAAAGCCTCTTCTCACACGGAGAAGGTTAGAGCATTAATCACCACGCTTGCTCAATGCGGGTTGGCGATTTCAAATTTATAATTAGAAATTATAAGTCCAGGTTTCCTCACGATGTTTTTCCTTCACCGTTTGTCAGTGGTGTCTAAATAATCTTAGAAAGTACATATAACTCGGAAAAAGTCACATTGGTACTTGCCGTTGGTAGGTTTCGAACCCGCACCCAAATGCATGAGAAGTGGGCGTCTTAAACCTCCGGGCCACCACGACACAACAACCAATAACCACTAGAATAGGTACTCCTATTCTTGTAGATATTAGAAGTGTGTAAACACCTTTATATCAGCGCCTACGACATGACGGTATTTACTCATAGTTCAAACGAGTAATTGTGCGTACCTATTACATAATTATTCAAAAATTCAAGTCAATGTATTCATAATACTAATAAGGTCTCGACGTTACACCATTAGTGCCGTTAAAGATATTCTCAACGTTTATTAGTAGTTATCTTCAATGTCTATTTAATTGTTGTTTTGTTTAACAAAAGAATACCGGTTTTCAATAGCTTGTTTTAAGTGTCAAAACATTTTTTAACTAAATATCATTAGGTATGATTTGAGGAAAAACTATTTATAACAATAGGCAATAATGATTTCGTTTGCCCCGAGCGTAGAAGCCATTTTTTAGATATGACACAGATAATTATATTTTCCATACGTTTATACTTAAATATTCCTATATAACTAAAATAATATATTAATCAGGTTAGATGTCACGGACAGTTAATCTCGTCGTTGTTCTAATTCATATCTTGTCGTTAGATAAATATGGTTCAGTATGCTATAGTTATTTATTAAAGGTATAATATGTTAGCTTTATTTTATTTGCTAAAGATAAAAGAGTTTTATTATGATAGAACAATCTAATTGGTGTATACTAACTGTTCAAAGTCCGAATAAAGTATTACATTTACCAATATATATTTTTTAATAAATTTTTGCTGTTATTATTAATATCTACTATATAATTGTGTAGGTATATTAATATCTAATAGTTACATAGGTAAGTAGGTAACATTTTTAAATCATTTTGTGATTCATGTTTCCATAGTTTTGTGTGGGAGAGCTGTGCTTCGGCACGAATGGGCCCGCTCGACTGGAGTGATACCACGGCGGGAAACCCACGTGAAATAACGCTTGCGGTGTGTTTCGTCGTGTGCTTGAGGTTACCGGAGGCCCAATTACCCTCCCCACCTACCAAATCTCTAAATCCCCAAGATTCCTTAAATTCCTAATCCCTAAAAGGCCGGGTAACGCACTTGTAACACCTCTGGTGTTCTGGGTGTCCATGGGCGACACCGATTACTTATCAGGTGATTCGTCTGATCGTTTAGGTACTTACCGGCTTAACCCAAAAAAAAAAAGTTAACAACCACACAGCTAGTCTGTTTGAGGAAACCTAACAGAAATTAACAAAATCCTTCAAATTAAAATCTCTTATTTGTTTCTGGTTTTATCAAAATAATAATGTTAAACTTTTTTCCGCTTTAAGAAACTTAAACAAACTCTTTATTCTAAGATCTTCGTACCAACTTTACGTATTATTTGAACAAGATTTTTTTATGTATCCCCAGATACTTTTAATCTTATAAAGCTAAGTATATATTATGTCAACAACGTTTAAATTAACTTTATTCATCACCTAAACTACTACACCATTCTTTATAAAACATCTAACAGCAAGTTAATCGTGATGGGACTGAAACTAGACAAAGATAGTTCGTTTTATATAAAGTCATTTGTAACATAATATGTACTTGTACTTAAGTGTTTTTACATATACTACAAGAGCTAGCAATGTGTGTCCTGACACAAACAAAAGATCACTTTCACTCAACATAATTTTATCATTATGACTAATTGACGTCAAAGATCATTCCGGAAAACTCGCGCCTTATAGCGCGGCGTTTAGCGCCGGTTATCATAAGGTTCAATGTTCAAAAAACCTGTTTTAATACATCAAGTGTCTTACCTGATTGGTATTCGTCGGAGAATATTAGTGCGTCACATTTAGCTACGTTCACTGAATGGATTAAGGCATTCCCTCTTTGGTTGGTGTTGATAAGAGGTGTGATAGCTCCTAGTCTAGCTATTCCCATCCACAGAGCCGGCTGTTGTGGGCAGTTGTTCACTAATAGTCCTACAATGCTTCCTTTCTTTATGCCTTGAGCTTTAAGTACTGCTGTGACTCGTAAACTGTAGTCTTCTACCTGAAATTAGAATGTTAATATATTATATTGTATAGATTCTAAGTATAATCTAGACTAATACAAGGATGATATATGTATAAAGGATATGAAAAAAGGTTTAATATTTTGTCTGTCTGTGTGGTTTTAAAGTGACCACTACTTAATCTTATGTACAGATATTCTATATTAAAGTTTTCTCAACGTGTAGAGCATCTGTATTGTGTGTAGAGATTAAGGTATTTTGTAACATAAGGTTACATCATTTATTTAGATGAGAAGGTAAACATATATTTTTTTTTAATTACTTAAATCTGCAAATACCACAGATTCAAAATTTTTTGTTCCTTTTCCTAGACAGGAGACCTGAATGACTAATATAAAATTGACTTAAAAGAAATTAGACCAATGACTGTAAGATTTTAAAATAAGTCATGAAAGTAGGTTACTGTTGACCAAATTGTCCTTTAACATCTATGCTGAACTTATTTACATAGATTGAGACAATACTTCATTACCGGATTCACTAAATTCAGTCGAATAAATTAATTAATGCATCAATCGACAAAACTTCAATGGTTATAACGTTAATTGCTGTATTCTTTGTTTAAATGCACTAATGTGAGAGCAAGTCCAAATTAGATAATTATTTCATTTCCAATCTATTTAATTTAATACAATAGACAATAGTCTATGATTGCTACATCATAATGTATTATAAAGAGGGCAGATTAAGTTATTTGTTTACATTCAAGATGATAAAATAATTCGCTATATAAAAACTTGATCTCCAGATAGTTAAATAAGTTACTAATCTCGATATTTATTACAGGATAGAATGCTTCTTGACAGAAAATTGTCAATTTCTTTCGTGGAGAAGCCATAAGACAAAAACTATTTAATTTTAATTTTGTTAAATTTAGTTCAGTTGTTGTAAAATGTATAGTTCAGTTGCTATGAGATCTAAGGTTTAGTGATATTACTTCTGGCCTATTAGGATGTATAACATGTACTTTAAAAACTTTTTAGTACGCATATAACTTTAATAATTTTAATCTGCAAAACTTTATGAACTAAAAATTGAATTGTGATTCAATATGATTACATTTGTAACATTTTATACTTAGTTATAATATCTCTGTGATATTTATAAAAACTAAATTGAATATCATTAATTATAATTGAGAAACTGGACAGACAGGGTAATTACTAATTAGATATTTAGTAATACTGAATATTAATTAAACAGATGATACCGGACAGATATGTATTACATATATGTACTTACTATGTATGAAAGATACTCTTACAATAAGTAAAAACATAAAACTTTCTCTTTTACAATAGCTAAGTAATCAACTTCAATTTGCTTTCTACTTTCTTCGTAATTTTTATACTATTTTCTACATTTCATAAGTTAATGCATGCATAGACAATTCCCATGATAGACCAAAAAGGTTTCTACTGTGATGTAATATGTCCTGTGGGCATACAGCCTGTGAATCCGTAATGATGATTTAAATAAATAGTTTTAAGAAGTTGTTTACAAAAAGTAGTAACTTTTTATGCTTTTTATGTTATCTTTATTTTATATAATTTATTTTTAAATGATTACATACCTCTTTGAAAGTCCAGACTTCATCTTGGAACAAGAAACATGGTTTGTCTGGATGTCTACTGACAACATCATGGAATATATCCGGCAAAGTCAAATCCTTGCTACTAAACTTCCTTGTTATCCATAAGATCTTTATGTATGACAATAGAGCCCTAAAATAATAAACAAATTGATGTTATAACACACACTGACACCATTATGTTGACTTAAAAACTTTATAGTTTAGTTTTTTTAATTCACTGCTCTTACTACAATTTTTTGAATGAAAACTAGACTTCACTGAAAGAATTAACATACTTTAGGTAATATTTAACGTTTTTAATTAATGCGTAGCGATGACGTGCCAGTTCAGAACCCTTACCTGAGATCTCTTGGAGTAGTTTTGATAGCGACGTAACACCAGCGTTGGTGGAATGCGAGGAGGTAAACAATACCAAGTATTATAATAGACACCAACATACAAAGGAATCCTTGAGTGAACAAAACGGCGGCACAGGCGGCCCCGAGCGCAGCGAGTACGAGCACCATCGCGACCACTTTTCGCAACGTAACGCGTCTTACTGCTGATCGGCGACCCACCGTGACTGTCTGTCTGTTGCGCGCTGTGCGAACGATGACTAGTTATGTTTAATTCATTCACTCGCACTATTAGCGAGACCACTCAAAATGACTTATTGATAACAAACAATAACACTTTATTGTTAACACACACACGCTCTCAGTGATACCAAAATACAATTACAGGAACCTGGTAAACAAGTTCCAACCCAGTTAAAGAATCCCCAAATGTATTCATTCAAAATTAACAAATAAAAAATACTGAATTTTAATATCGTTGGTCATGCAAGCCAATGATCCACCGACATTCAGTAACTGTATTAAATTTAAATGCTAATGAGGGCACACTATTATAATCCGAATAATGTTAATTAGGACAATACGCAATGTACAACAAACTATGCCATTGGATCGTAATTTGACGTTAGCTGTTTTATGACGTCAGTGTCACTGTCACTTTAGAAGTGATCAATAAATATTGACAGCTACGTTTTGTTTTTTCTAGAGCAAATGCCATGGTTGTTGCTTTAAACATTTTGCTTAAACGGGTAATTGTTTAACAATAAAACAAATAATACTAGTTGAATGTTTTTATTACTTAAATAAAGAAACCATTTGTCCGTCTAAAAATAAACATAAAAATGTAGTCACTTAAATTACATTACACATTTTTGTTTAACAAAAACATATTTATCATGATTCATTTACAAAATTAGATAATAGGTACGCTACCCTAACAAATTAATTGTTTAAGAAATAGTTAACTAATTTGAAATAGTTTGTTGTCATTTGAACTGATTTTCATACGTGATTTTCTGCTGCCTATTGCACATCACCGACTAGCGGTAGCATAACTCCCAAAGGGGTAACATCAATAATACCTGCTTATTGTGTCACAATAAAATTATAAGTATAACTTAACTGATTATAATAATTACATATGCTAGTTCCTTATAAAATAGTTAGAGTTACAAGGCAGGTAGGACATTTTTATCTACACGAAATCAACCTTTTAACTTCCCATACATTCATTCTTCTCAATTTTAATTAACTATTGATATGATTTTGATAATACAAAAATTACGTAAAAAATAAACACGTAGATGTCACGTTCTTCAACATAAAATGTTGAAGGTATCAATTTAAAAAAGTCTAAGTATTTTCCTAAAAATTATATCTATCTAGAACTTGCACTTCACAGTATCACATCCTTATTGTATAAGTTTTTTTTAAATAAAGGCACAATAATATCTTCGTTATGAGTTTGTAAATGTTTATAAAATTAAAATCACAGTCTAATTTGTCCTGACATAATTTTTTCATATTCTTCGTTTCCAAGAGGCAGATATTTGCCCGTCTTGGGGTCTGCGTAATATAGTTTGTCTTTGACTAGCGAAGGGTTGTAGCCCTCTTTCTGCAAGTCAACTTTCCTCATCTTGAAAGTTCCTGTTAACAAAATAATAATTAATATTAATATCTCTTAATTTAAAACTCAATAACCATTCATAACTCGATCAAAAAGTTGCTCTAAAGAAATCGTGATCCAAAACTCCATTATGGAAAAGAAAATACGTTGTCAATAAAATCATTATTTGTCACATTTAAATACCCGATACAGAAATCAACAACTAAACTACCTAACACAACACTTACCCGTCATATCAACGCTAGCCATGATCCTAATGAATATAGGTCTCGCGTATTTCGGTAAGTCTTTAGCAATGTCTTTCGCCAGCTTGTCCAGGTCTAGTGTCTCTTGAGGATCGACTATGCCGCACATACCAGCGCGACCGTCGGTGTTGGGAATCTGTGGAAAACCGAAGAATTTTAGGCAAAGAAACTACGTAAGGTAATTGTAGCTACCTATAATAACATTAGGTTCCGAAAAGGTAGGTCCATCTAACTAGGCTTGGTGACCATGCCTGACGGGCTACCTACTGTCCAACAGGTATTAGATACGCTACTTAGGAATTGAAAACAAATTCAAAACCTTTTTTACACATTTCATTGCTTTGAGTTATAGACAATTCTAAAATAACACACACCTCAACACCGTAAACCACAGCATCTCTCTGATCTGCCACCCTGGAGATGGCCGATTCCACCTCAGTTGTGGAGACGTTCTCTCCTCGCCACCGGAACGTGTCTCCTGTACGGTCCATGAAGTACAGGTAGCCGAGCTCATCAGCCGTCAAAATGTCACCTGGAAAGAGGTGGATATCATTGATTTTTCAAACTCTAAAGTAGTCAAAAAAAAAATATAATTACAATAACAGTTGTTAATGTCATTTTGAACTTAAGTTGTAATTAGTTGCTATTGTAGTAACAAATTTACATGATGATAGATGGTGAAGAAAGATTAAAAAAAATCTAGGTAGGCACAGTGTACACACCTGAAATGAACGCTGAATCTCCATAATCAAAAACGTCTCTAACAATCTTCTTGTCTGAAGCAGCCTTGTCCACGTAACCGAGGAACGCTCTTGAAGGATTATTTGGCTTAATTTTTCCTATGAAGACACCTGGCTCGTTAGGTTTCGCCAACTGCAACCAAAGAGTTATTTGAAGAATCTCTTACCAACTTCATAGAACCTCATCCACCACCAACGTCCCGTGACAGTTCATTAGTGACCATTGGTCATCACTACCTAAGAGCTATAATTTCTACGCTTAGGAGACAGAGCTCAAAAGCATTCTTCTTTGTCGTCTCCTTAAGGATCCATCATGAAGGGATCTCGAAATGTTTACTTTTAATAAAATTACTCACCTGACACAATCCTCTATCGTCTCTAATGGGCTCTCCGCTATCAGGGTCCACTTTGAGAATAGCGATAGGATACACTGCTGGGATTATTCTAGATACAAAACCGATAGCTCCCGTTTTGTTGTTAATGTTCACTAAAATAAAATATCGAATTTATTAGGCCTACATTTTTTAAACGAAGGTATTTCTTTACTGAGCAATAATTTATAGATTTTTTCTTACCTATATTCGCGTTGCCCTCAGTAGCTCCATAAAATTCAACTACCTTCTTTATGTTGAAACGTTTGACGAAGTCTGACCATATCTGAAAGAAATCAATATGTTGTATAAAGAACCTTCATAATCTTAAAATTAACTTTTGGTGTACCGCAAGGCACTATCTACTTGTGTTTGGCATAAGAAAAGAACCTTTATCAAAATCAAGGTAAAGTATGTTTTCGAATTTACAAGTAGCAGAGCCCTGCGGTACTTGTGACACCTTGTTTCTAAGTTCAATGACTTTTTGCAAGAAAACCACAAACTTACCGCTGGCCTCATTCCGTTGCCGTAAACTGTTCTAACTTTGTGTTGCGTGTCCGTAGGGGAAGGCGGTGTCGTCAGAACGTAGCGACACATCTCACCGATGTAGTGGGCGGCCTGGTGATTAAAAATCCATTAGACAAAGAAAACCTCAAAAACTACATTACAATCGGGCATCGGAATCTACAAACGCAATAAGTAAAAAACTTAGGCCTATTATTCGTTAATGTAGCAATGATTACAAATAATTTCGATAAAGTGAAAATCTGCACAGGCCTTCAAATCAGTTGCATCTAGAAATTTAACAGCGTTTAATCGATTGCCATCATTTTTATTCACAGATTTAAACTGTTAAGCTTCAAAAAAACAGCGATATGCTCTCCGATAAGCCAAAGCTCAAATCAAACGTCACATTACACACTTTCACTTCAACTACAGAGCAATTCGTTTTTAACGATCAGCCAGCATCCGCGCACAAAGTTTTGATTTCTCTGCATCACTTCGCTCACAATGTAGCACATAAGTGCATAGTGAACTTTCTCCAAGCTTTCACTTACCGTGGCATTGTATTTGATGCAGTCTGGGAAGTATCTGGATGCTGAGAACTTGGTTCGGAGCGCTACAGTACATCCGAATATGAAGGCTTGGCCCATCGTGATGCAACCACCAGCTGAGTGGTATAGAGGCATGGGACAGTAGATGACGTCACTCTTTCGCAAGCTTCCCAAATAGTGGACACCTGATGCCATGAACACCATACTGAAAAATATAAATAGTTTTTTTTTAATGATAGGTACTCGCATTGAGAAATTATTACTATTATATAATTAATTGAGATGTCATGATGGAAACAAAAATTGACCTCGTATGTTCGTCTCAACGTGTAGTAATGTACTAATTTAGCATGACTTGCACAAGCAATTAGCGCCTTCGAAGGAATCTTACCGTGAAGATGATATAACGGCTGCTTTTGGAAGTCCAGTGGTTCCTGAAGTGTAGATGTAGAGGAGTTTTCCATTGAACCCGTCACTGTCGGATGGAGTCCAGGGGAATGGGGCAGTGTTCTCCAACATAGATGTGAAGTCATCATCGGATTCCACAACCTTAACGGCATCAGGAGCAGTATTGAGCGGCCGGCGGACGAACTTGAACAATTTTAGGGAAGGGCTCAGTTCCTTCGATATGTCCTGGAATGCTGAAATAAAAACTAGAATTTAGAAAGTCTTTCCTTGTACTCAAGACAAAAATTAGATAAATAATCCCAGTAATATAGATTATAAATTATAGACTAGGTATACTGTACGTTACAATAAACAATTTAAATGATAACTGTTTCTATAAGGCTGATTTATGTATATTCACCTTCGATCAACAATAGTTGCTATTGTTGATCGAAGATATTCACACAAACATTTTTTACAATTCATGTCACAATAGATAATGATAATGTACGGTTAGCAGATGTCTATCCAAAACCAGTTATTTAGTGGCACATATTAATGTTAAGTTAGACGAACCTGTTTGGAACTCGTCACTATAGATGACCACGTCACACTTGGCGATGGTGATGGAATGCAGAAGGGTGTTGCCCGTCTGGTTGGTGTTGATTAGGGGGCATACGGCACCCAGTCTCGTGGCTCCTAACCAGATGGATGGCATCTCTGGGCAGTTCCCAATCATGACTGCTACGGTGTCTCCGCGCTTCACACCTTTGCCTTTTAAAACTGCTGACACTCTTAAGCTGTATTCTTCCACCTGGAAAATGGGAAAATTTAACATCAGAGCTTTGCACAACTGATTATATACTTATTAGGCAGCTATATTGTAGTTAATATTTAAGTTTATTCAGAAGGAGTAGATAAGATTATTCAGACACCACTGACAAACGGTGAAGGAAAACATCGTGAGGAAACCTGGACTTATAATTTCTAATTATAAGTTTATAATCGCCAATCCGCATTGAGCAAGCGTGGTGATTAATGCTCAAACCTTCTACGTGTGAGAAGAGGCTTTGCTCAGCAGTGGGCATTTAAAGGTTGTTGATGATGAGAAGGAGTAGAAAACTGGTTTATGTAGTTCTCTAGATTCTTTAGTTTCTTGCATTATAGACGCATTACTCGCCCCTACAATTTTCGAAAGTTTCCCTCGGTTTCCCTAGGATTCCATCATCAGATTCTGACCTCATGGAAATGGGATCATCTCGGGAGTATACCGTATCAAACAAAACAAGAATTTTGGAAATCGGTTCACAAATGGCGGAGTAATCGGCGAACAAACAAAAAAAAATAATCAGCCGAACATAGTACCACATTGAAAGAGTGACTTCAATATTTAACTAAATATACTACCTATACTTATATGTTTGGAAAGTTATCTTATTTCTCCTATGTATTTGTTCATGTTGTTGTTCTATTGACTAACCTGTTGCTCCCATTCGGATTGAGGTTAAAACGAAAGTGGCGAGCTGCATTTATTTTAAAAACTTTTGCCATACATATTGCTTTCCGGAGGAAATGATTAATGTCAAGGAAACGGAAATTACTTAACATTAGTGTTATTAATGTAAACATCAAATATATACGCAGCGGTTTTAATCATAACATAACATCACGCCTTTTATCCCCGAAGGAGTAGACAGAGGTGCATATTTCGGCACTTAATGTCATGTACAATGTAAGACCCACTTTTCACTATTTATGTTATAAGTCCCGTGTAATAGTGGCCTATTGCTATATACCGGGCACATTTCCCGACATCAGGGAGTCGGGAAATGTGCCCGGTACTTCTGAGAGTTTCTTAAAAAACCAATAAAACTTTGCCTGACCCGGGTATCGAACCCGAGACCACTTGGCCGGCAGTCGCACTTGCGACCACTCGGCCAACGAGGCAGTATTGACCGTTAATTAAAAAAACACCAAATTATTAAGACTAGTACAAACAGTACCACAGGTCGGGTCAACGTATAGGCTAGGTACATATTATCATGCTATCAATTACGGGAGAGGAGCTGTGAATCACTATTCCACGGGGACGAAGTCGCGGGCTCAGCTATTAAAAAATATTAATTCTTAAAATGAAACACACTATTGGTTTATTACCTACACATTATATAAATACAGACACGTTTGCACTTAAATAAAATTAAGTTGTAAAAATAACGGGATTGTTAATTAAACATTAAATATTTAATTTTCTTATTTAATTCGTGGTAGCATATGAGAGTGATTGCCTCATTGGTCTTGGGTTCGATTTCCGGGTCGGTTAAAAGATAATATTTGGTCTAAAAGTGTGCATAGTGTAGGTTCGCCCCCGATATTGCCCGTTTACTTTTATGTGACTCATACATAACATAAATGGGAACAATGGTAGCATACGAAGCTACATACATACATAACATCTCGCCTTTTATACCCGAAGGGGTAGGCAGAGGTACACATTACGGCAGATAATGCCACTGTACAATGTAACACCCACCTTTCACTAATTTTGTTATGAGTCCCATGTAATAGGGGGTGAGCCTATTGCCATATACCGGGCACAATTTCAGACTCCGTGCTACTACTGAGAATTTTTTAAAACCCAGTATTACTTTGCCCGACACGGGAATCGAACCCGAGACCCCTTGCCGGCAGTCGCACTTGCGACCACTCGGCCAACGAGGCAGTTAGGTAAACCCGTTTCAATAAAACTCTCTTAAATTTTAGAGAACCCTTAAGCGAAGCTAGGAGACACTTGGTGTTTTGGTTTTTACAAATCAATAAGTGACATCTAAAGATACAAGTAAGGGGTTACTTTAAGGTTAAGTTAGATTTTTTATCTTAAAAAAAACGTTGTCCCCACACTAAGATTTTCTCCTGCGTCGTGGGTTCGTTTACAAACATACCTACAATATAACATACACATTTCAAACTCAGAGATGATTCATTTTATACAAATGAACCTATTAAGTCATCTTATACGTATTATTTTTAAGGTGGGAAAATCATCGAATGACGTCACCCACCCCACATGGGTGAGGCCCGAGGGAATGTCAGACTCTTACTAAAAACCACCCCGTTCCTACTCCTGCACTTCGAGCCGGAGCCCCGGTTACCCATTAAGTTCTCCGCGGCTCAATCCTATATGTATATTGTATAGGTAAGTATTATATCTTAACGCAACTGTCGCAGTAACAACAAACAGATAGAATAGACATTACTTAACTGTTACAACATGAATGTTAACTTCCTGTGGACGGTTATGTCAGTCTGTAACTACATATTACATACATTATGTTGACATCGTTACGGTTTCTTCTTTCAATAAGTGAATAGACCAGTCCCAGGGGCGTAGCTAGCGCCGTATCTGCCGTATATGGGGCCCCCAACGTGTGTAAGCAAAATTATAAAAACTTTTCACTTCATATTTTATTTCAGTAATCACAAAATGCATGCGTTCGAAGGTTGGCAGAAACCATGGAATAGAGAAATCTATTCCACGGCAGAAACTTTGGAAAAACTAAAGCACCTAATCATTGTCCGATAATTTGGGTAGAGAAGGTATTTTTTTTAAATCTCTTTTCAGAAATTTTACCTTTCATAAGGGCCCCCAAACAATACAATTTTTGTAAGGGGCCCCGCCATGGTACGCTACGCTGCTGGCCAGTCCATAGTAGGTACAACGATTGTACTTTTGCTTACTACAGTTGTTAAAAGACCTCTGAGTTTGTTTCGGCATTTCTTCTCAGAGTAGTCAGTTAGGAAATGTCGGCCTCATCGTTCGCTTGATAAAATTGACGTGTAAAAGTGCTGCCTTGTAGCCTATTTGCAGAAATAAATTCACTTGTATCACTTGTTTCACAGGTGGTCCCTTTGTTACTATTTAAATTCTAACATCTGCCAGGGCTTCACATGTTCCCGTGGGATGTGGGATAAAGTGTTATTGCAGATTATAATCTATCATTGTTCCACAACCCGATCCTTTCAGCCATTAAATTAGAAAATGTGATTAACAAACATCTTATAACACGCTTTTAATTAAAAAGAAATCATCAATGTAGGTCCTCTTACGACCACATTCAATCACCATTATCTTCTTCCTATCGGTATATGTATTTGGTTACCTATAATAGACAGAATAAAAAAATGCTCCATGCATTTTTTTTAAGGGGGGAAAATCATCGAATGACTGCTCCCGCCTGGGTGAGGCGGAAGGGAGTGTCAGACTCTTACTGACTAAAAACCACCCCGTTCCTTCTCCTGCACGTCGAGCCGGAGCCCCGGTTACCCGTTAGGTTCTCCGCGACATGCTCCATGCATAACGTCAATATTCTGCCATATAGATAAATAAAATTATAGTCTGTGAAATATTGTTGCCAAAAGAAATCAGCACACTATGACCGCGCTTGGAGGACTTTGATCATCAATTGTTTTTGTGAGAAGCACATTGTCCTTGTCCGTCACGACACAGAAATTAACATAATTAGTATGATCTTTGTATATATTTTTTGTATAATATTGTATTTATATTTACCTGCTGGAATGTCCATGTTTCATCCTCAAATAGGAAGCACGCCTTGTTTGGATGTTTGACGACCAGCTGGTGGAAGATGTCGGGCATAGACCAGTTCTTCTTCGTGAAGTTCTTAGTCAGCCTCAGAATTTTGATGTAGCAGTATAGGGCACTGGAAGAAGAAGGTAGTTTTGTTATTTAATTTGTATTTGTTGTTGTAGCAACGGCGCCCAGAGGGCTAATTGACTTTTACATCAGAATTTTAAGCATAAATAAAAACACTTGACTTAGTGCATCTTTGTATCTATAGTTCACCCATTCAAAGTAGGTATCAAAGTGCTTTTTGTTTGACTAAATGGTTTTAAAGGACGATTAAAAATACAGTCAGATAAAAATAAATAAAACAACTTACGAGAAATCCCTGGGAGCAGTTCTGATGGCCACATAGATCCACCTCCAGTAGAAGGCTATGCAGTAGACAAATGCCAGGATACCCAACACTAAAAGACTCGCCTTCCAATCCTGGAAGACCCAGGCCACTGCACAGGCGCCGGCCAGCACACCGAGCGCAAACATCGCTATAATAGCCTTTGTCCAAGGGATTTTAGAACCAGCCTTCACAACAGTCCCCTTTTCTATGTCAGCGTTACCGTTTTTTAACTAAAAATAAAAGAATAATTATTTAAACAGGACCTATTCACTTGAACGTTGGATACAAACTCGATATTATATCGGATAAACAAAATTCTGACTGTTCGTGTGCCAATGCTAATAAAGATAAGATTGTGAACTTATCTGCGGATTATTCGAGTGGACTTTGCAAGATTTTAATATGTAGTCTACTATAGTCTATCTTTATGGTAACAAGATGAAGTGTTTTGATTACCTATTTTTAGATTATGAGTTCTAACGTTAAATAGATGTTTAATCATAGTTATTAGATGTTTAATAGATGCTTTGGCATGAATGGGCCGGCTCGACCGGAGTGATACCACGGCCTCACAGAAGACCGACGTGAAACAACGTTGTGTTGTGTTTCGTCGTGTGAGTGAGGTTACCGGATGCAATTACCCCCCCCCCCTCCCTTTCCCTAATCCCCAGCATTCCTCAAATTCCTAATTCTAAAGGGCCGGTAACGCACTTGTGACGCCCCTGGTGTTCCAGGTGTCCATGGGCGACGGCGCCGCCGATTGCTTACCATCAGGTGATCCGTCCGTTCGTTTACCGTATCCCATAAAAAAAAGATATTCTAGACACCGGCAATAGTACGACATAACCTGTTGTCTAACGCTCATTGTCTAGATAAAGGGTATCCATGAGGATTTCCACACGTTAAAAAAAGATACTCTAGACACAAAAATAATAGAATTATTTCAACGAATGTGTTTTCACCTATTTCTATTTTTTAAATTACGTGTAGGTATAATCTAATAATATAGTATAATCCATGGGTATAATCTGTCTATTCAGTGAACAGATATAATTAAAGCAGTGTCATTAAATTATTCATTAAATGTAGTCTTTATACTTGAACTTTGAAACTAAATGAACGATAACGTGTATCATAAGCGTTCATTGTTCTAAACGATAGTATTACTACCTACATTATGAATAATATTCCTTAATAATTATGGAATTCTGAAATAACTAGGTAGATCAAATTACCACCGAACTGCCAAATGTGTAAAAGTTTGTATCTATAACTTCGATCATAAAAACTATGAAGCATTAGCGTGAAAATTTTTGCGACACAAATAGAAACATTGAGTGAACAAAAACATTTTTAGTTTAATATCGTACGTAGTTTGTACCTTACAAACTATACAAGAAAAAAAAATCACCAAATTATGTTAATATTTATGTTACCTGTGGTGTTTGTCTCACAAAAATATTAGCATAAAGTCTTAACTATACTTTATTTATTTTCAACTTCATACATAAATATACAATAAGTGTGTACAGGTGGACTTAATGCCTTGGGCATTGTCTCCCAGTCAACCTTTAAGCAGTGCAGAGATGAAAGTAGCAGATGATTTAAACCTTTATAAATAGGCAATGTACCAGTACAGTAAATAACTAATCTCACAATCATAATATTACATACATAGGTATATGTAGGTATATTTGAAAACTTATACTTACTTACATAACAACAATAATGTAACTTGTACATGTACTTACTTCCAAGTTACAAGACGAAATAAACTAAACTTAGCTAACTTGGTTGCAGATTCAGGCCATGGAATTCAGTAACTTTTGTTTTAACCAAGGTGAAGTAAAATAAATATAGAATCTTATTGTATCATAGGTTCAAGGGAATAAAATTGAACAACATTTGGTTTGACGCTTTGGGAAAAGAAAAAAATCATAGATAGATATGAGTGTACTCACGCGTCCCGTTAATTAAAATAAAAAATATCGTAAAGTTTCATGACCTGAACTCACACCTGCAAGATTCTCGATTTACATAATAACCGTATTTACCCACCACAAATTTAGTTTATTACTAAACACACAATTCCCACCTTATCAAAGCAAGTCTATTTGCGCACTGACGTTCGATTCTAGAAAAATGTATATAATATGTAATTTCATATATGAATATGTACCTAAGTATGCCAGGTATACCTAGGTAAAGACTAGATTGTCCGTGACACTAGCTTGTATACATCGTTATACTATGTCGTAACTAATTAATAAACGTTTCAATATTTAATATCGATTTCTTAGTATTTATTAACATGAGTTAGTTATTTCATAATGAAACTTCCTCGTTAGTCTAGTAGTCGCAAGAACAACTATTGAGCAAGTAGTTTTGGGTTCGATTCCCGGGTCAAATATTGAGTCTTTCGAAGTACAAAGTTTAAAATTGACCTAGTGGTTCACGTACTTATTAAATAATTTGAAAATAAAATTGCTATGTAATTCAATTACATGAATTTTTTAGGTTAAACTTGAGGTGTTTTTATAATAACTATTGTGAGACATACTAAATTAACTAAAAATTAGAGGCCGTGGTATCACTGCGACCGGAGTGATACCGCTTGCGTTATGTTTCGTTGTGTGAGTGAGATTATCGGAGGCCCAATTATCCTCCCCTTGCCTAATCTCCCCAATTCCTTAAATCCTCCATAATCCTCAAATTCCTAATCCACAAAAGGCCGGTAACGCACTTGTAACGCCTTGGTGTTTCAGGTGTCCATGGGCAATGCCGATTGCTTACCATCAGGTGATCCGTCTGCTCGTTTACCGGCTTATGACATAAAAAAGTATTCCAGATTGCATTATCATACTTATACAACACCTTAATATCATACATAAATGTGTCAACTAGTATATAAGCAGCTATGTACTTGTCTATTGTCCTGTATGTATTATTGAGAATAACAATGTTAGGCCAAAGTTGCACTTTGTATCTACAGTTGTACATAATATGACGTAACATAACATAACATCACGCCTTTTATCCCCGAAGGGGTAGGCAGAGGTTCACATTATGCCACTGTACAATGTAACACCCACTTTTCACTATTTATGTTATGAGTCCCATGTAATAGGGGGTGAGCCTATTGCCATATACCGGGCACAATTCCAGACTCCGTGCTACTACTAAGAATTTTTTAAAAACCCAGTAATACTTTGCCCGACCCGGGAATCGAATCCGAGACCCCTTGCCCAGCAGTCGCACTTGCGAGCACTCGGCCAACGAGGCAGTACATAATATGAATTTTAAGTAAATACTAGAGGTATTAAGTAATGTCATTACAATTGTGTTCGAGTAATGAATTAGTTAATATTACATGTTTAATTATGAATTACATGAAATAGAATAATAACGCTTAATTAGTTACATTGCATAAGTGTACCTACATAACCTAGTATGTACTAATTGTCAGTTTGTATATCAGTCCCATTACTTTTGTAGATAAAAAAACGGTTACAACGTCAAATTTGAAGCTATTGACACTGACAGAGTAAAAACACTAATCGAGATCCGAGACTTCTTGTACTGCAGTCGGTCTTGTGCCCAATCGACTGATGAGGCAGTCTGCTATTGGTAAAGCCTAGATCAATAATAATTATAATTCTATATAATATTTAATACATATATGATAATAAACATCACGCCATTTATCCCTGAAGGGTAGGCAGAGGTGCACATTACGGCACTAAGTGCCACTGTACAATGTAAAATGTAACACCCACTTTTCACTATTTATTTTATGACTCTTATTTATATAGGGTGTGAGCGTATTGCCATATAGGTACCGGGCACAATTCCAGACCCCGTGCTACTATTGAGATTTTTTTTAAAACCCCGCTAATCCTTTGCACGACCCGGGAATCGAACAAGAGACCCCTTGTCCAGCAGTCGTACTTGCGACCACTCGGCCAACGAGGCAGTCATGTATGATTCGTTACAAAAATAATATCTAGACTTGATATCTAGCAACTACTGTAGAGAGTGTTTTCTTCACTCAACAAGTTGATACAAAAGGCGATCCAATTAATTAAAGCTGTGAAAGTATGATAACGTGAATAGAATACACCTGCACTGCCATACCCACAAACATTCTCACATATAACTCTTGAAACAATAGGATTTATGGAGGTGCAATATTAATTTTAAATGAACAAAACAGTTTTTAATTAGATTAAATAGTTATTATGGGAACTAGAGAGTTAAGAAGATTTTTAATTTAACCGTTATAATGCACTGATATGAGACACAATCCCTACTAATATTATAAATCAGAAAGTTAGTTTGTTTGTTTGTTTGTTCCGCTTTCACGCCGTAACTACTTAACCGATTGCTTTGATTTTTTCAGAAGTAAAGTTAGAAGTTCGGATTAAATAGCGTACTTTTTATCCCGGAAACATTGATATTCCCGAAGGAAATTAAAAGTATTGGTATAGATGGCGCTGTGTGTATTGGTTTATGTCACATAGGCTACTTTTTGTCCTTTTGTCACGCGAGCGAAGCCGCGGGTATAAAAGCTATAGAAAATAGAGGTATATTGTTTCTCGCTTGGATCCACGTTTAGACACACGACGGGTTAAACAGTATAAAGCTTGGTTTTCCCAGAAGCTGTAGATGAAAATGCAGTGCATAATTTTTTGTCACCTGATGGTAAGCAATTGGCACCGCCCATAGCCACCCGAAACGGTGTTACAAGTGCGTTACCAGCCTTATGAGGATTAGATTAGGAATTTGAATATTTTTTGGGGATTCGGGGATATTACTGTAATAACTACTTTTTGTTAAGTAACTAAGTTAACCAAAAAGTAAACGCAATAGGATATTGTGGATGAGTCGAGAGTTACAGAATATCGAATTAGCCTCATACCGAAAATATAGATTTCTTGACCACCAAACTAGTAGTAAAATAAAACCGAAAAGTCTATAGCAAATATGTATATAATATGTTTTTAGTATTTCTGGGTTGTGCGACCAAAGCGCGGCAAGAGGTCTCGAGTTCGATTCCCGGGTCAGGTAAAGTAGGTATTACAGGGTTTTTTTAAAAAAATCTGAGTCTGGAATTGTACCCGTTATATGGCAATAGGCTCACCCCTATTACATGGGACTCATAACAGAAATAGTGAAAAGTTGGTGTTACATTGTACAGTAGCATAATGTGCGCCTCTGCCTACCCCTTCGAGGATAAAAGGCGTGATGTTATGTAGGTATTTCTGTGATAGCATGTTTACAGATATTTAAGTATTACTAATGTGTGCAAGTTGTTTGTCACTTTTATACGTTTCTAGATTGGTTTCTGTGCATAGGTAGGTACCTATGTATTTTTTACTAATCGACCAAATTATAACGAACTTCAAAGAACTGGATTATGACCTGCACATTGGCATCTCGTGACCAGAAAAAAACCTGTAATGGTTGTAGGTAAGCTCTGTTAAATACTAAATATAATTGTATATAAAAAAAAGGAAAAAAGTCTTAAGTGCAACAAGTGTCTTATATTACCGGTTGTAGCACTACAGCTGTCATTTTTTTCTTAAACTTATTTTTTGCATTCTTCAAAGTAGGTAACTTGTTTGTTGAAACAAATAGAAAAATAACATAACATAACATAACATCACGCCTTTTATCCCCGAAGGGGTAGGTACACACAGAAATAACACCCACTTTTCACTATTTATGTTATGAATCCCATGTAATAGGGGGTGAGCCTATTGCCATATACCGGGCACAATTCCAGACTCCGTGCTACTACTGAGATTTTTTTTAAAAACCCAGTAATACTTTGCCTTACCTAGGAATTGAATCCGAGCCCCTTGCCCAGCAGTCGCACTTGCGACCACACAGCCAACGAGCCAGTCATCCGCCTAACGCCAGCCTCCTAGATGGCTGTCGAGGCTTTTAGGGATTAACCCATTGGCCGACACGACTATTGCCTCGGCACTATGATAGCCGAATCCACACTTGACAATTTCGTAGAGCGAAGTCTAGATATTTTATTATTATTATCAATATACATTTGCATGTAATTTATAAAATGTAATGTGTATTTTAAAGTTCTTAATAGCTTATATGACATAAGACAGATTAACCAATTTGTTTTTAAAACCATACCTGGACGTATTGTGCTTATAATAACTTTAATGTAGTTAGTACCAACTAGAAATAATAAAAGTGAATATATATAACTAACTAGCAAACCCGGCGAACTCCGTTTCGCCACCAGATGGCTTCGTTTTATGTAACATTTCTTTTAGTGATTAAATGATGAAGAAACACTTTTTTTATTTATATTTTATAAACCTCACGGAGTCCGAGACCTTTCCAACGAATGCAAAACCGTGGAAATCGGTTCGTGCGTTCTGGAGTTATAGCGTCAGAAAGGAAAACCCGACTTATTTTTATATAGTAGATACATACATAGGTGTATGTACTATGTACAGGTCATTTCGATAAATAATTTACGAATAAATTATAATTGTTTGTTTTTCAGGTTTACAGGCGACTTATTATTAATATTCAATTGTATATAATACAATTATAATTACAATACAATAATTAAGTATAAACCATAAAATGATAAATTATTGTTTTATTAACTTAACCTAACTTAATAAGTACTTCAAAACTAACTTACTAATCTGGTAGCGTCCGTTCAGTTATTTTCCGGTATTTACAATCCTTTTCTTGGACTTGTTGATAAAAGAAAATTATCCGAATCGGTTCAGCCGTTCTTAAGTTTTGTACTAAGCCACACAACACATAACAATTTATTTTCTTTAAAATTAGATGATTTTCACAACAAAACTACCTATTTTAATCGTTACCACACGAGTTTTCCGGTTCACAATTCGACACAAACTACTATTTTTTCAACTGGTTTTTGGTTATAATTTAATCTGAGAATTAATTTATTTCTAAGATGAAGAAACCAATTAAGTAAATTGGTATAATCTTTTCCATCAAATTGTGTTTCTTTTTATTTTGGCTTAACTCGTTAATGTCCGATTATGAAAAATATAACATTTGTTCGTACAAAAGTAGTCTCTAAACATTGGTAATAAAGTGTATAATGGAGTAAGTGGAGAGCGGTCGCCGGTGACCCGCTTGGGGATTGACCAGTTTGTATTGAATTAGTTGAAAAGGTTAAGGATCGTGCAGATGTGGATGCATCAAGATACATTGTATGAAAACAGAGAAAATACCTACGATTATTATTAGGTATAGGAATGGGTGGTAAGCGTGCAGATAGATCCTCTATAAACAATGAACACCTACGATTTTAGACTAGTTACAAATGTGTTATCGGACTTTAGGGTATTTGGAGATATCGTGGGGGCAGGAGGGCAATTAAGCCTTAAGTAATTCATTATTATTATTTGTTATTCACACGATGAAACACAACGCAAATTATTGTTTTTCTACGTGGCCGTTGTATCACTACGGTCGAGCCAAGCCACTTATAATGGCGAGGCATGGCCCTCCCACGTTAAATGTATCTGTTACCTATATTACATAGATTAATCTAAATATACATAACAGTAGATATAACATATTACCTCAAACTTCTGTTGGCTGACGTCAGTCTTGTTCATATTACTGTCGACATTCATTTCCATGTTAGACATCTTTACTGGGTTTTTTTTACTCTTTATTAAATTAAATAGTTAACAATCCCATGTTTTGGTGGCTCTCTTTGGTTAAATGATCTGAAACAAAGAAAATATAAATTAAGTATTTGTTTATATGAAAATATAAAAGGTAACGTGTAAGATGAACAACATACAGTTAAAAGGATTTTGGTTGAAAAGCACTGATCTCTGGAAATACTAGATCGTTTTAATACAATTTAGTAGATATGATTTGCATGAAACGAATTTTTAAAAAGAAAACGAACGATAATGTATACTACATTTAAAATTACCAATAGGAACTATAAAAAATCTACTTCGATTAAGCAGTTTTTAAAACACTTTCACAGTACACTGAATTGACTGCACTCGCTCACATCTCACACAACAGTATTAAGAAAGAATGCAAACATCGATTATTATGAATTTCTCCACTTTACTCAGTACACCAGACCGATAGCCGATACTGTATGTAATTGATTTGTAACAAAACCGAAGAAAAACGTCCTAACTACAAAACGAATAACAACCGATATACATTTGCGGTCGTTGACCTTATGACATAATAATTATGTTTTACTTTGATCTTCATTAGGTAAGTATAAACATCACTACATAGTTTAAAACAAAGTCGCTATACGACGTCTGTCTATCCCTATGTATGCTTAGATCTTTAAAAATACGCATTGGATTTTAATGCGGTTTTTTTAATAGATAGAGTAATATAATACTTAAGGAAGGTTTATATATTTATAATACATGCATATTGCACCCGTGCGAAGCCAGGGCGGGTCGCTAGTTTATAATAAATACTGTTCTACAGTGTAGGGCGCCGTTCAGCTAAGTGATGTGACGATATCCGCCAGATGGCTAGCAGTGGTTGTAAGAGAAGGACTGAAGACCGAGCTCAGTGCGCGTGCCATTGAAGAGGCCTACATATGTCCAGCAGTGGACGAACACAGGCTGATGAAGATGATGAATAATATAATAATATTTTTAAGAAAGTTCATAGAGATTGAATACATAATCAAACTCAAACTTTAAAAACTAAATAATTGAATTAAACTTATTGTTTGCCAAGCAATCCTGAAACTAGTTTTCAAAAGGTAGAGTGCACTTCTTAATGGACATATTTAGGTACATGTTATGTCATAAATTCTCAATAAGATTGCCTGTCTTGATCTATTGTGGGTATTATCGTGTATCAGTGATAATGATAACAGATCTTATTATATCAATGTAAATTAAACCAATCAACACGTAATCGCTACTAGCAACGACGATGACTTAAAACAACTAGATGTTATTTAATGACCAATCAATATGTTAACTAAACTTTCCGCTAGCGGCTGCCCACGTGGAAGATTTTTGTCCGAATTGGAATCTGCTGAATATCAGGATAAAATGTAACCAATAATATAGAAATGACCGCTACAATACCATTCGACAATTTATTAAAATATAACTATAATTAAGCGAAATCTTTTGAGCGACTGCCTCGTTGGCCGAGTGGTCGCAGGTGCGATTACCGGGTCGGTATTACCGAGTTTTGGAAATGTGCTCGATAAATGACAATAGGCTCACCCCCTATTACATGGGACATATTACATAAATAGTGAAAAGTGGGTGCTATATTGTAGGTACGGTGGCATTAAGTGCCGTAATGTGTGCCTCTGCCTACGCCTTCGGGGATAAAAGGTGTGATGTTATGTCATGTCTTTTGAGCGACTACATAAAGAGTTGTAAATACACTTACGGTATTTGGTGTCTCTCGTAAATATAATAATAACAATAATTTGCAGTCGGAAACATAACAATAGGTAGCCCATATTTCCCCATACTACAATTCCGGTGTATGTGTAGAATTGCCACTGAATTACTCGTTATGTTAGTTTTATCACTTTTCCTGTGTTTCTACAATAATGATCGTACTATTGTGTTACAGATAAACTGTTGCGCATACATACATTTATTATAATATCTGTAATCAAGATGGCTACGTAATTTTTAATCTATATGCTTTTTTCGTAATATCCGTAGTTGGCATTTAAAGTGTATGTTTTAATTAAGAATGGTTGTATATTTCTCTTTATGTAGTTTAGTTTAACATCAATCCTCAATGCTAGTACAGATGATTTTATAGCAAAAACCCCGATAATCTGTCACCTAACTCGAGATTAAAACCAGTAGCAAAAGTAAAGAAGCATTAAGAATCTATGTCTAAAATAAAACCTAGACATTAACAGTCATGCCAAACTTAAAGTGTGGGAGAGCCGTGCTTCGGCACGAATGGGCCGACTCGACTGGAGTGATGCCACGGCCCCACAGAAAACCGACGTGAAGCAACGCTTGCGTTGTGTTTCGTCGTGTGTGTGAGGTTACCGTAGTCCCAATTACCCCCTTCTCTTCCCCAATCTCTGAATCCCCAACAATCGTATACGGATACGTCCCCATACGTATACGGCCGGTAACGTATATATATATGTACGTACGCCTCTGGTGTTCCAGGTGTCCATGGGTGACGCCGATTGCTTACCATCAGGTGATCCGTCTGCTCGTTTGCCGGCCTTTGCCGTAAAAAAAAAACAGAAGTAAAAAAGGTTATTTTTCTCGTTTCAAACAGACGAAGAATTTTCTAGCTATTCTGAATAAACATTAGCTTTATTCAGCCTTCAACAATAATATACCTCCTCAGGTGATTACCCCGAGCGACATAGAGCTAAAAAATAAGGAGCGGCCGTAACCTAATCGTGCATAAAAGTTAAATATTATTAATTTAAACAACTCACAACTAATGCGTTAATCAGACATGAATGCATGATAAATCATTATATAATATTTGCCTACTGCTTAGTCCATAATTCGCAAATATAGCCAGGCTATGTAAATGAAACTGAAGGACAGTCTAGTTTGGTTAGCCAAAATATTTTTCAGAGCCTAGTGTACGAGATATTACGCATTAGTCTTATTATGATAATTCACGCTTTTTTAAATATTATTCTCATATTCTGCTATAACCTCTTGTACTAGCTTTAGGTAGGTACTTATCTACACAAAGATGTAAGTTATTTAATTTATACTCTTTCACAATTTTACACAAGCTTTTCCTTGTATAGTAACTTTCGTGAGACATACTAAATAAATTATTATGTTTTCGGCTTACTAAGTAGTAGCAGCGCGACAGTCGCCGCGTCGCGGGTCACGAAATGCTGCTCATGAATATGAGCCTCTAGCATGGCTTGAAACTAGTCGAGTTCCTCGTCAAATTATTACATGAGTAAGCCGAAAACATAATAACTTAAATTTTTCCTTATTAAATTACATAACATCACGCCTTTTATCCCCGAAGGGGTAGGCAGAGGTGCACATCATACCACTGTACAATGTAACACCCACTTTTCACTATTTATGTTATGAGTCCCATGTAATAGGGGGTGAATTAAATATCTATATATATAAAAGAAAGTCGTGTTAGTTACACTATTTATAACTCAAGAATGGCTAAATTGATTTTGATGAAAATTGGTGGAGAGGTAGCTTAGAACCAGGAGACGGACATAGGATACTTTTTACCCAATTCTTTTTTTTTACTTTTTACCGAAAATCAAGAACGGGAACGGGAAATATCGGGATTGCGCGTACGAAGTCGCGGGCAGAAGCTAGTTATTATTAAATTAAATATTAAATTACCTAACTATAATCTGGACTCTAATTTAAGTAAGTTTTAAACAACTATCTAGTCCTAGAAAAAATCCACATCGATTTCTAAACATCTTTAACACTTTTTCATATCAGTACTCAGTAGATATGATCATCATCAGCCTATAAGTGGCTACTGCTGACCAAAGGCATCTTCTCACACAATAGATATTAATAGGTAGGTACTATTGTCAACACACTCTCATTGCCTCTCAAGACTTCCTTTACGATGATTGGGTAGACCTTGGCTTTACAACTCGAGTTAAAGGGAATTTTGACAAATCGTTACAAACAGCAAGGATTTAACTCGTCGAGTACCGGTTTTATAGACACAATTAAAGAACAATAGGTCGCGGTCACCGGTGACCGCTTGGTGTTTGACAGTTTAAACTAATGAACCAGTCATTTTGTCGATTGTACCAAAACCATTTTATAACTGACTTCAAAAAAAGATTATTAGGTACAACGCGTAGGTTAGTTGAATAAAAAACTACCTCAGTTTTTGGGAAGTCGGTTTAAAAGAAGCATTGTTAGTATAAACTAGTTTTGTGAATAAAACACAATTAAAATATGTATGTACGTCAATAAAAATAACAAAACTGAAATCATCAATTTTGGGGCTTAAAATTGTGCGTGTAATTAGAAATCCACGTGTAAAGTCGAATTCGATCTCTGGTCATTAATTTGAAGATTAAATAATTATTTATTTACGCAGGTTTATAATTAACCTGCAAAAAATATCTGTCGATTCTTGATCGAATATTTTAACTTCATTTATGTGTTTTTTTAACATGACCACACAATCGTTTTACTCCTTTGTGCTAAACTCTGTTCTTTTCCGATAGCATATAGAATTTTGAAATTAATCAATATTTTACAGTGGCGACAAGTTCATAACATTGTATCATATTATCATACCATAAAAACGGCTGGTTGTGCACATAAAACATTTCGATGTAGTAGTTAAATGTGTTTAAGTTACAAATTGGCATAACTATGAAATAGATCTTGAGTAAAACTAATACCTATGTCTTAGGCAATAAGGCCTTCAGTTTTACTAAGTAGATTAACAGGACAATCACACGAAATATTCTAGACTTTAATCATTCGCAGTCAATTTCGTAATATCTATTTTCGTATTAAATACATAATTGCTATGTCTTGTTGGTTTTATCATGTTGGATGATTTTTTCGTGTCAATAAGGAAAGAATTACTTTTCTATTATTATTTTTTTTCGAAATCTCACATTAGGGTATGTGAATTTCTATCCAGTGGCTTTTAACTTAAGTCGCTCAAC